CATACTCAATGTCAAGGTGTTTTGCACTAGATCGGAACACAATCTTCTTGAGAGGACCCTCACGTGACTAGAATGGCTTTTGATCGGATACTTCAATTTTTTTTTCGATTTCTTCTTGCGTAATCGAACTGAACTCTTCCTTTTATGCAAATGCTCTAGAGTCGAAACTTTAATTTCTTTCTCCTTCTTAGCCTCTACGTTTCCTTTGGTAATTTTCAATTCACCACACACAAGTAATTTTCTTACCTTTTTCCTTTGTTTTGCTCTGTTTTTCAATTGACACCTTCTTGTCAATTGTTATCTTTGTAATCGGCTCCCATCTCGTGCGTGAATCTTCGGTTATCACTATCAACCTATCGATCTTCGGTTATCACTATCCAATACTAGAGATGGAATTATATACTAAATCTGAAAATAATATCAACAAAAGTTGAATATATTACAATGTATACCAAACTTTCAACCTGAAGCGCATAAAACTTAGTACATTCACACGCAATTACCGGTACTCGTCGTCTGAAAAAAGAACCATAAGGCCCAAAATTTCACTCTTTCTAATTACCAAAAAAAAGGAGCTAGAGCTATAATTCACACTTTATGTTTTTATTCAACCATTTTTTACATTAGAGACGACATAATTTTTTGAAACTCAACTTTATCTTGCTCAATCATTTCTACATTCGACTTTAATTAAACCATACTTTTGTCAACTGCTTCCTTCTTCTCTTTTCCCAACAGCTTCCTTCGTCTTTGTAACTCAAGAATTTTGAGTTTCACTTCAGCCAATTCTTCTTCCAACTCACGCTTTTTGATCTTTTCCTCTTCTTTCTTCTTCTCAAAACATTTCATTTCCTCCACCATTTTTGCGTGACTATCTTGGATAGACAACAATTTGTTGATCCGTAACTTAGGTTCTTCAACGTCGAAACCGTGCTTCTCTAGCTCCGCAAAAGAAACACTGAGACTATTGAGTTGACTTGTGGAAACATCGAGTTTCAGATCTTTGACATCATCTAGTAACTTGTAATAGATCGCCATCATGTCTGAAGACATGACTTTTGTTTCTTCCATCGCCTGAAGATATATAACCAAAAAATAGTAGCAAATAACGTGTACTTTAAGAAACTATTACGTGTATTTTCTTAGGAATGTTTTTGATCGATCAATCAAAAAAATCTTTTGAAAAAGATCGATCAATCAAAATTTCCTTTTAAATCGATACCTCTAAGACCAAATCTAAGAAACAAGGGTACATTACATAATAAAACACTTAAATTAGCAATTATCAGTATCATGCTTATCTACACGTGGCCTGGCATTTTCTTCATCAGTGAGACGCCTGTCCCTCAACGTGTTTCACACCATATGCTTACCACTTTTTATGAACCGGTATGGTTCGAGCGATTAATTTCGGATGTTTCGGTTCGACCGGTTTCTACCATCTACTTTTTATTACCCACTAATATGTTTGTAGATGGTAGATTTAAGATAAAGACATCCCAAGTTGTATAATCTTTTGTATGATTTTCTTTTCCACTTAACAAAATTCCGTTGACGATTAAAAAAAAAAAAATAGAGATCCATTACTGTGTGAACTTTCAATTTAATATGTTTCCCATGATTCGAGAGATTGGAACCATATATATATATGCATGTACGATTTATCGATTTGTATCCAGATACTCACCAGAAAGAAACATGCTCATAATTCATTAAACATTGCTGTATGTTTGGTTCGCTAACCACTTTAAGCTGCTCAAATCTCTTCTCTATTATAATCTAAATAGATAATAGAAGGAATAGTTGATTTATTGTAGTTTAAACCCTTTATCGTAAGCTTACACATAATTTACTAGGTTTTCATATGTTCTGTTCAGTCAAAGCGACGATGGTAATGCTAATCTGAA